ACCGCGAGCACCCACGACCCCAGCGTGGGCCGAAAAACCACACTTCTGAGTTTTCTCGCTTGTTTCCCCACAGCGTTTTCACTGTTTTTTTTTGTTTTGTTTTTGTTTTTTTTTTTAATCCACAAGTAATTTAAGAGAAAGCCCCGGGAGAAAACGTGGCTGAGGGTGTGCATTCGCGTGGCCTTCTTTCCAATGTGAATGCAGACGACAGCCCCTGGGTCCAGTGAGGACAGGGCCTGAGCACGCAGGGGAGGCTTGAGGGTTAAAGGCTGGGAGAACCGGGGCCGAATCTGCTTCCTCCGGCCGCTGCAAGTCCGAGGCCCCGTCTCAGGGGAGCCCCACGGCCCCCGTCTCGGGAGCCCCGCCCCCCACCTCGGCCCCACCCCCGTCTCGGGAGCCCCGCCCCTGGGCAGGGCCGCGGGAGGTGGGAAGGGCGGGGCTTACCTGCCATCACACAGCCGGGGGTGGTGCACAATTCGTCCTTCTTGGGCCGTTTGATGGCTGCAGGCAAGAGGCAGAGTGAGCACGCGCAGAAGCAGGGTGGGCGCAGGTGGAGCGCAGGTTGACAAGGGGGCGCGGTTGGGGCCGGGCCTCCACACCACCCCTAGCCCCGGTGGGAGGTCCAGCCTGGGGTCTCGAGGGCAGGTCCAGAGGGCTGCCGCGTGGCCCAGGCCTGGGTGCTGAGTGAGGGTGAGCCTCCTTCCGCTGGCCCCCTGCAGTGACCTGGGCGCCTTCACACCCCCTGCCTCCACTGACCCTGCAGCGGCCCCAGGCCCTCGGGGCTGAAGCGCTGCGCCCTCCGCCTGTCTGCCCAGCCAGCTCTCACCCCGGCCGGGGCCAGCTCTTGCAGGCAGCCCGCCTGCGCTCCCGGGCTCTGCGCACCCGGTGCCAGCTGGTTATGTGAATGCGCAGCGTCCAAGGCCGGCGCCGTGCGACTCCTGCCGCTTCCCGGTGCCCGGGGAGCATAGTGCCCGCAGCAGGTGCTCACGGCTGCGTCCCTGCCACTGTCCTCTCTCCCCAAGGGACTCCAGGGGTCCCGCGCACCGCCCCCCCGCTGCCATGAACCGGCCGGGCCGTGGGCTCCCTGCCCTCCGCCGAGAGTGCCGCGGGAGGCTGGTTCCCAAGGCCCCTGCGGGGTGTGCTTGATGGGGTGGCAGGGCTACCTCGGGGTTCTCGTTCTACAGGGGTCTTCTCCTCCTGCGAGAAGCAAAGCCGGCCAGTAAGGAGCGGCAGCTGCCTCCCTGGGGAGAAACACAGCACTCAGCTCTCACCTCCAGCTGCGCCTCGGGGGGCGGCACTGGCGTTCTCCTGAGGTGCTGCAGTCCCGGGGTGCTCCCGGGCTCCCTGCTCGGGGTGCAGCCCGTCCCCTCTGTAGCAGGGCTGGTCACCAGGGACCCGGCACACGGGGACCCCAGCACAAGCCATCTCTGAGCTGCCCTGGCTTGCCAGCCCACTCCCAGGCCCTCCCCACCTGGGGCCCCCAGAGGGTTCCTGAGGCAGGGCCTCCTCCCCCCGAGAAAGTCCCCGACTTCCTGTCCCACCTCACGTAGGGCGGGCAGCTGTCGAGGTCCTGCCAAGGCAGGGACAACGGGCTGTGTTAGGGAAAAGGTGTCCTGTGGGGTCGCTTTCGGACCCACTGGCTGCCCTCGGCTCCAGCCCCCGTCCTCACTGTCGGTGACACTGTGAAGCCACCCTCCCTCCCTCATGCACTACGTGGGAGGGGGGACTGCCTGGCCAGCGTCAGGGTCCCCCGGGATGGACTGTCCACTCTACCGGAGGAGGGTGAGGAAGGAGGAGGCGCAGGGCAGGGGAGGGGAGGACCAGGCAAAGGCAGAGGGACACCAGGCCCGGCCACCTTCGGACCCAGCTGTGGCTGAATTTCCCCACCGAGAGGCGGTGAACACCTGGCGGGAAGGAGAGGACAGGGCTGTCCACAGAGTCTTCAGAGGGTGTGGGCTGCCTGGAAAGGGGGGGGCGCTCCCCGGGGTCCCGGCCACTGGCGGGGATGGTCGCGAGGCGCGCGGTCTGGGGCGGGGGCGGTGGGCGTTTCTCTCCACTGTGCTTTCTGTGCCTCGCTCACCCACCCACTTAGCCAACACGTGCCCATGACGGCCAGCCCGCCTGGCGCTGGGCCCTGGAGATTCGGCGGGAGTCGGACACGACTTCCCAGGAGCCCCCGTGCCGTGGAGCCGGGGGAAGCGCGGCACCGCACGCGCGGCAAACCCGAGCCCCGAACCCCGAGCCCCGGGGAGGAGCGCGCGGTCCCCGCACCTGGAACCCGCGAAGAGGTAAGCGGATGCCGGGTCCCCGCGCTGTCTGCCGACCTCAGCAGCCCAGAGCCTTGGGACGAGAGACTAGAGCTGGGCCCTCAAAGGGCCACAACCCCAGGGACAGAGTGGACGAAGAAAACGAAGCTGGAAGACACGTGACTTATTTCTGCGCATGCTCTAGGGCGACCCGTGGTCAGGGCGGCAGAGCCGTGGCGAGGGCGGAGATGCGCGGGTCAGAGGAGCCGGGCCAAGAGGCCGGAAATAGACCCGCGCGAATACCGGGGCGGCTGGGTCTCGACAAAGGCGTGAAGGCGGTTCGACGGAGGGAGGAGAGTCATTCAGGAGCGTTCCCCGTGGAACCAGTGCACACGCGCGTGCCAGAGCAGACCAGAACGCTCAGACTCAGACCTGACGCCTTACACGACAGTGAGGTCCTAATGAGCCACAGACGTAAACATAACATGCGAAGCTGCAAAACTCCTGGGAGAAAACATAGGAGGAAATCGACATGACCTTGCACCTGGCGATGACTTTGAAAATACAACACGAATCGCACGATCCGTGAAAGAAAAAAATCGATCATTTCCTCAGTTGAAGTGAAAAACTTCTGCCCTGTGAAAGACTTGTTAAGAGAATGGAAAGATGAGCCACAAACAGAGAGAAAATATTTGCAAACATACATCTGACAAAACGCTTGTATCCAAAAGGCACAAAGAACCCTCAACTCTCAGCAATGGGAAAACGAACACCTTGATTAGAAAATGAGCAAAAGGTACGAAGATGCCACCAAAGCAAAGACAGACACGGTTGGAAAGTAAACGTATGAAAAGATGCCTCACCTCACTTGTCACCAAGGAACTGTAAATTAGAACAGGCGTGAGGTTCCACTACACGCCTGTTAGAATAGCCAGCCACGCTCGCTGACACCCCTGCTGGGGGCGTTCGGAGCAGTGGGAACCGTCGCGACCCACTGTGGGGCCGCTCGCCTGGGAAGACGGTTTGCTGGTTTCTTTCAGAACCAAACCCAGAAATGTGGCTCCGAGCTGTTCACCCAACTGATTTGAAAACTGATGTCGATGCGAAAATCTGAATGAGAATCTTCATAGCGACTGTCTTCATCGTTTCAGAAAACTGGAAGCAGCCATAATGTCCTTCAATAGAATAATGGATAAACTGTGTTACAGCTATCCCATGGAATTATAATTCAGGAATAAAAATAAATAAGCCGTCGAGCCACAGAAAGACGCGGACGAATCTTAAGTGTGGATTACTCAGTGAAAGAAGCCAGTCTGAAAAAGCTACCTACAGTGTGATTCCCATTATATGACATTCCGGAAAAACCGAGCTACACAGAGAGTAAATAGGGACGGCCGGGAGCGTGGCAGGAGCGCAGGTGTTGGTGGATGGACAGTAAGCAGGTGAAGGAAAGGGATATTTTAGGGCCGTGAAACTATTCTGTATGATACTGTAATGGTGAATATAATCTACGAGGCATTTGTAAAAACCCATGGAACTTTACAGCACGAAGAGCGAACCTCATGTATGCAAAACCTAAAACAATTACTTGGGAGGCCAGGGCATCCCGGGATGAAATGCAGCTTGAGAATCTTACGTGTGTGACAAGTGTGTGAATAACCTCAGTGGCGGGGTCGTGGATAAGGGGCTGCCCTCGGTGGCTGTGGAAATGAGCGAGCGTGGAGGGCCGAAGGCTGAGAAGCTGCACACACGTGCTGTGCTCTAGGCAATGAAGTTTCCTGCGGGATCCATGCACCGGTTCTGAAACCACCACCCGTGTCCATCGATTGAATAAGTAAGGCAACGAGGCGGCCGGGCTTATCACCGTTGGCGCGGAAGGGGACCGATGAGCAAGGGGAGGAGGCAGAGGGCGGGATCCCAGTGGTGATGGATCAGAGCTGCAGACGCCAGTGCCAGCTCCTGTTTAGCTCGCTGCAAGCACAGATAATCATGAGACAACACCGGACGGATCCCAGTCGAGATCCTGAGTGTCTGTAAAACGCCTGGCCCATCCACGTCACAGTGTCACAATCACAAACAAACAAACAAACAAACAAAGAAAAAGCCGCAGGGGCGTCTGAGAAACCGTCACAGTCGAGGGGAGCTTTGACGACTAAACGCAAGGTGGGACCCTAGGATGGAGAAGGCCGCGGGCGGAGCCCCAGGAGCAGGCCTGGTTAACAGCAGGACAGCAGCGTCGGGTCAGGCCCTGGGGCAAATGCATCGCACTGATGTTGGGTGTCGGTAACGGCAGGGGCAGGGTGCGGGGCGTGTGGGAACTCTGCACTGTCTTTGCAATCGCTCTAAATCTAAAACTGCTCCCTAACATTTTAAATTAGTTTCAAAACAACTCAAACAGAGGATCTGAGGCTGGGGAGACAATATTCGGTGGCTTAGCACAGGTGTAACAAGAGCACCAGAGGAGAGACCCTGTGGGTCAGGGCAATCTTTGAAGAGAGAACAGCCAAGGAGGTTTCGAAACGGATGAAAGATACAAACCTGCAGATCCAAGAAGTGCTGTGTGTCCCAAGCGGGAATAAATACAAAGAAACCAGAGAGAGAGAGAGAGAGAGAGAGAGACAGACAGAGAGAGAGACAGAGAGAGACAGAGAGAGAGACAGGGAGAGACAGAGACAGACAGAGAGAGACAGAGCGAGAGAGAGAGAGACAGAGACAGAGAGAGAGAGACAGGCGGACAGAGACAGACCGAGAGAGACAGACCGAGAGAGATCCTTAATAGCGGTCAGAAGGAAGGGACATTGCATCCGGGAGAATGACAGGGAGGACGGTGGTCGGCTTCTCATCACAGACAGAGGACGTCTCCATCACACGCGCCACAGCAAATCCTAAAGAAACGCCTTCCTGCAGAAAGAAGGTGAAAGCCGCTGGAAACGCAGAGGGGCGGGAGGGGATCGTGAGCCAGACAGGGGAAATGAGGGGGAACCGGGAGCAGGACGTGTTCTAAAGGCCCAAACGATGCTTCTGAGTAGTTTGCTTCCAGCCTGGTCAGACGCATCCAGAACGAACAACCGAGGAGGCAGGTCCACTCCCTCTTCCAGCCCCCGCGTCTTCCCGGCAAAGCTGCCACCCCCTCCTGGGGCGAGACCGTCGGATGCGAGGGCTGGGTCGGTCGCCTGCGGACACGTGGGCTCCCGAGGCCATGTTTCCGAGTCCTGCTTCCCCACACTGCCCTCTAAGCCACGTCGGCCCATTTAATCATCACGGACGCTGGTGCGATTCGCGCTGCCCACTTCCCGGAGGAGACCCCTGACGGGCAGGTGGGGCGCTGACCCACGCCACCAGCAGAGGCAGAGGGTGGGCTGCCGGGCCCCAGATTCTCACTTCAAATCTTTGTTCTTCCCAGCAAGAGACAAAGCAAAACGGCAAAGCCTTTTCGACGCAAAAGCTGAACAGAAACCAAGTCTCTCTCTCCCGCTGCGCTGCGCAGAGTTGGCGGCAAACAGCCCAAGGCGAGTTTGTCCTCGTCTGTCTGGAAGGCAGGCGCTCTGCTTGAGACCCTACCGACGTGCCATCCGCCCCGTGTTCCTTCGCATTCGTTTGAGTCCCTTCTGCACTATTTTCACAAAGACTCTGCATTAACAGAACAATGTTGACGTTTCCTCGGAAAGTTTTGTTCTCTCCTCAAGGTCAGCCTCGATTTAAACCATTTGCTGCTTCTCTCTCTCTCTTTCCCGTTCCTGTCTCGCCTTTCTCTCTCCCTCTCTCTCTCAAAATAAAATAATAAAATAAAAAAGGGCTACGAAGAACTCCGCGGGGTGGAAAGTGGCCCCCGTCCCTGCAGAGCGCTCATCGCAGGCTGGTTGCCACGTGTGTGAGCTTGGTGGCCGTGCGGGCAAGGCGACCTGAGGCCGAGAGGCTAACTTCGAGCAGTGCCGGTTGTGGAAACACACACACACACACACACACACACACACACACACACACACACACACGTTCCCCAGAGGGACGCGGGATTCCCACGGGGAAAGCCAGTTCAAGCGTGAATTTATGTTTATGAAGAGACGAGCTTCCAGGAGTGAGAAACAACAGACGAACTAGGATCCCACGGATTTCGTATTGTGGGGTTATCTGAGCCAGACGTGTGGAAGGTGGCATCAGGGGGCCCAAATCTCAGCTCCTCTCTGTATCCACGCCTTGACCACGTGACTTTGGAGCTGTTCCCAAAGGGGCACAGGATATTCACCCCGCCCCCCGCCCCTTCACTGTGGGATTGCCCTGTGCCTTGCTTTGGCCACTAGAATGAAGCAAAATCGCTTAATGCAGTTGGGAGCCTCGGTTCTGAGAGGCCTGTGGGCTTTAACGGGCCCTTTCGAGCCTCTGCCAGGAGAGGGACGTGCCCACGCCTGCTTGCTGGGCCTCGTAGGAGGACAAAGTCCACATAGAACAGTGAGGCGGACTTAGCCCGGCTGTTCCCAGCCACCCCGTGGGTGTGTCTCACGACAAACAGTTGCTGTTTTATGCCCCTGAGTATTGGGTGGTTTTTAAGGCAGTGATCGCTAGCTGATGCAGAAAATGACCCAGGTATGTTCGAAATATTAAAAGAAATAAAAGAATTGAAAACGAGAGCGAGAAGCACTTAGAAAGAATCAACCAAAAGTTCTCGAAACAAACAGAAATATAGGCGCTGGGATTCAGTTTTTAAAAATGCAGCATGGATGGGTGAAGCAGATGTCACAGCCGAGGGAGATTTCGCGAACTGGAGTGCAGTTCTGAAGAATTGACCCAGAATGCCAGGCACAGTCAGGGAGACGGAAATGCCGCCCACAACGACTCAGAGGTCGGAGCGAGGACCTTTGAGCACACGTGGAATCATGCGATCAGAGTGTCTGAGGGAGAGAGCGGAGATCTACGATTTCCCAAAGGCAATAAATGTCACCCGTGGTTAGAATCGCGGCAGATCTAAAGCAGGGAACTTCACAGCCGGACACCTCGCGGTGAAGATGCAGGATCCCAAAGAGAGAAAGCAGCTCAGAGGGAAAGACATGGCACCCGATGGAAGAGCAGTGACGGTGTCAGATTCCCACACGGCCACGATGGCGGCCAGACGCACGGAGGGTTCGCGGAATTCCGGGGCGAGAATCGAACACCGCACCGTTGCGTGGGCTCAAACCGTAGTATCGCACCTGCTCACTACCTGATAGCTGCCACGCAGAGCGAGGACGGGCCTTTTGCAGATCGACGGATTCGCTGGGTTTCAGAGACGGGTGGGGTCTCAGGGATCCGGGCCCATGGCCTCTTATGAAACCGGAAGACGTTCGGGGCCGTGTTTAGGAGCTGTTGGGAGCTTTTCACTCGAGTTTGTGAACTTTTGCAGGAGACAGTGAATCGTAACTACTTGTGCAACATTAAAAGCTGCTCACTTCTTAAGGACTGTCTGGACAAACAACCAGAGCGGGTGGGAAAAGGATTTCTAAGGGTTAGAAATGTCATTTTGAATGGGTTAACGTCTGGAGTAATTAACAAGTGCTGTTTGTGAACTGTCGGTACCTTGTCCCCAAGTCACGTGCTACGGCATCCCGCAATTAACTCAAATACGCTTTACAAGCACGAGGCGGGTACCTGAGCTGGGTGAAGACAGGCCTGTAATAAAATGATCAGAAAGAAAGGAACCTCCTTCAACGAGGTAGCTACTAACGCTAAGGAAACCAAATAATAACAAAGCAAGAAAATGTAAGCCAGCTGGTCTCCGGAGCTCAGCCGTGAAAAACACTCCGTAGAAAGACTGCCAGCGATGACTGAGGTGCCTCTAAACGCGGCGATACGCCTGCACGGGGGGCGGGTGTGCGGGGAGCGGGGCTGCCTTCTGTTCAGGGGCTCAGCAACAACCTCGATGAGAGGGTGACCACAGCATCTGGTGGGACGTCATTCAGCCAGACCGTGAACAGCGTGGCCGACGTTTTTCTAGGTGTTACCGGTGCATTAAATCATTGACCACTCAAGCGAGCCCCTAAGGCTGCACTATGTGATGTTCCTTTATACAGATAAAGAAACCGAGGCACAGAGGTGTGAAGGGAGCCTCTCGGGGCCACCCGGCTGTGAGGTGAGGGAGCTGGCCTGCCCAGCCAGGCCGTCGGACTTAGGGAGCTGGGCGTCATCACACCTTAGGGTGCTGCCCGCGACCTCACACTAATGAAGACAGAGGGCCCGGACTTGGTTCAGAACATGAGAAGACAGTCTAGTCCAAGGGCTGGCAGTATTTTTCTGTAAAGGGCCAGAAAGTGAGTATTTTAGGCTCGTGGTCCACATACAAACTGTCTCACCTATTCAGTTAGCAAGAAAGCATCCACAGACCATATGTAAATGAATGGCGCGGCTGTGTTCTAATAAAACTTTATTGACAAAAGCAGGCAGTGGGCCAGATTCGCTGGCCTCTGCACCGGACCACAAACACGGCTGCGTCTGAGGAGCAGAATTCCAGGGTGGCCGGGAGTGAGCGCAGGAGACTGTATCTCCCACTGTAATTTTACAAAAACATTTGATTTTCTGAAAAGGATTTATCCACAACTTTTAATATAACAAATATTGAAACAAAAGAATCCAAGGTAACCACGAAAAGGATAGACAGAGAAAAATCCCAAGCTAGTTGAGGGACAATAAAATGAAAAATAATAGCTCGATCCAAAAGAAGGCAAGAGGAAAAACATACCAGTCATCACAGTGAATGCAGAGCCTAAATCTTCCAGGTAAAAGACACCGAAACCGAGCTATATTCTGTTGCGAGAGACACATCTAAAGCTAAAGATACAAAATTTCAACAAAGAAGAACAGGAAAAGAGACAAAGCAGATGCTAATAAGGATTTATGTATTATGTTCATATTAGACACAAAAGAATTCAAAACAAAACAGAATTTAAGGCAAAAAGCACGGTTAAGATAGAAAACGTCAGTACCTCATCATATGCGCTGGTAGGTCTGCTAATTCTAAATTTGTATTTGCATAATAATGTCGCCTTAGAATGAGTAAGTTGATACTGGACATAACTACAAGGAAAACGGATAGATCTCGAGTGCAAGATTTTAACACACGCAGCTTTTGATAATTGAAAGGTCAAGAAAATTTAAAAAGCAAACACATAGATTTGGTTAATCCAACGGATACATCTGTATCTATGTTTGTGTCTATGTCTGTATGTCCCCGTTCTTCTAAGTTAGTGACCGGCTTACTCCGCAAGCACTCGGATTATCTGCAAAGCTGACCTCGCGTTATCCTTAAGCAAGCCTCAGCAAATACCAAAGCATCCGCACCTCGTAAACCATGGCTGCCGACGACAATGCAATGGAATTAGAAACCAATTTGTAAAAAGGTAACTAAAAAATCTCCATGCATCTGGAAATTAAAAATAAGAGCGTTCTAAATCACTCACGAGTCAATAAAAACTCAGAGTGGAAACGAAAAATCCTTAGATAATAACAGTGCACATAAACCCCGCCACGAGCCCAACCAGCACGGAGGCGGAGATCAGTGTTACACTCCTTTCGGGGAGTCGGGGCACAGGGTCCACTCGGATTCAGGGGATGGTGCGGATGGGGAGGCAGGCTGAGCAGGGAGGGCCCTCCTGTCTGGAGGTCTCTGCAGACGGGGGTGGGGCCCCCTTGCACCCAGAGCTGGGGTGGGGGGGGCCAGCCCTGTCCCTAGGAGGCCTCTAAGCCGGGTGCTTTGAGCCTGGGGAACCCTGAATAGAGGTTCCCTGGGGTCTGGGCCCCCAGGGGTCTCTGGGCCACAGTGACCTGTAGAGTTGGCAGTGCCCGTCTATCCTGGCAGGAGACCAGGAGGGGCGGCAGGGCACAGCAGCCGGCACCCGTCAGGCGGAGCAGCCCCGCGGGGGTGCCGACCACGTCCACAGGCTGCACCCCTCCTCGTTCACGGAAACAGCCTTGCGCAGGGATGGGTGCGCGAAGGGTGCCCCAGCGGCGGAGACAGGCTTTGGCCCGTGAGGGGACATTCTAGTAATAAAGGCTGAGGTGCCCTATTGTTGGGAGTAGAGAGGTGAGTGTTTCTGCGGACTCTCCTGAGTCCTGAGACCCCGCCGTGGGAGGAGCGCACCGCACCTGCCGGCAGGTGTTCACCTGATGTACACGCCTCCCCCCCCACTGCCGCCCAGGGCCAGCAGGACGCAGCTGGGGCTGACCCGGACGCCTGGTGCCCAGGTGCCTCCAGTGAGCCCCCGGCTCGCCCCCTGACCCGAGAGGGGACAGTCCTGCGCCCCCACGTGGCCTGGGTGGGGGACAGCGGAGGACACTGCGCTTGGGGGTGCTCCCGCAGGGCAGTGGGTGGCCTCGCCCCCACCTCTCCAGGACCCCATTCCGGCTCCCTCCCGCCGTCTGTCGGGGAAGCCGCGAGGCCCGGAGACCCCGAGACCCGGCCTTCCGCGGGCCAGGGGAAGAGGCTCCCAGAGGGTCCTCCCCGCACGGTGGCCAGGGCGGGGGCAGGC